GCAGCAGGATGTAAGGATGGGGCGGGGGGGGGTGTGATTTTCTGTGAGGTCAGTCAAATGTTAAAACAGGCTATCTAGAGGCTATGCAGAGAGGTCCTGCAGCTCTCATTCTTGAGAGTTTCTAAGACTCAGCTGGATAAAGCCTTGAGTGTTTTGTTACATGACCTTTAAAGATGCCTTCCAACCCAAACCATTCTATGATTCTATAACCTGGCCTGGTCTGATAACTGACAACTTCTTTGTGCAGGAGTTTAGACTAGAGAGAGACTCCCTTAGGTCTGGGTAACTAACAAGGTCCCAGTCTTTACTTGCCTGCTGTCAGTGGGAGGCAGGGTGATTCATCTGACTAAATTTTTTTTTTTTGTTATCCTCCGTCTGTGGAAATTCCCTAGAAAAAGGAAAAGCAACAGTACTTAAAAATTATAAACTTTTTATGTGTGTATGCACATTGTGTACGTAGATTGCACATAGATATGCATACATAAAATATTTCTCTGATTCTTGATTTTGTCCCCCATTTAAAATCTCAGTTAACTAACTTTTATTTGCTGTGGTAGTAACACTGCTTGATTTGTACTAAGTACCTGTGTTGTGACATTTGTCTTTTTTTAATGGCAGAGAGGACAGAGAAGCACGGTTCCTAGCTAGTAAAATGGGAATAGTGGCAGCATTTCGATCGTGGGCAGGTAAGATTTGTTTGAAGCTGGATGATTGGAAGTGTGATTTTAATTTCTAGTCCAATTGATGAGTCTGATTTCTATCAATACCTTCCTACAATCCTACTATGTGTTTTGAATTTGCCTTTGAGATCGTTCTGCCACTGTAAATGAGAAATCTGGCTGTGTTGGGAGATAGCAGCAGAATAGTTCCCTCAGCACCTGCTTTTACCTGCTCCACATTTATTGCAGGTAAACATAATTTGCCATTTTTCATGTAGAAGATCCTTAAAATAATAATTTTTCTCATTTTTCTAAATCCTTTCTCTGCAATATTACAGTATCTAAGATGAAGCTACTGCCTTAGGGACTGCTTATTCTCTTAGTCAAGCCAGTCCTGCAAATCTAAACTGAATTTGTTAATATGACCATTTACCAAAATTTTGAGTAGAATTTGTATCAGCTGTACTTAGGAAAGATTCAGGCTGTCTTGTGAGACTATTTGCTTTATGTTTTGTAAGTTCTGAAAATTGTCATTAAGCTTAATTTTGATATTCAGATATCCCCAGTCTCACATGTTCTCACATGTTTGAAGAAGCAGCTTGGGAAGCTTGTCAGAACTTTGAAACCTCTAAGAAACAGTTTCTGATAGGAGTGTTGCTGCGTCTTCTGTAGTGAGGCACAGTAACAGCATGTGCCTGAAACTTCAAGTGACTGAAGAAACAATTGTCTTGGAATATGTTACTTGCCATGGCACTCTCGCAGTTAAACATTCATCCTTTTTTATATCAGTTACCTTGCAAAGTAGCATCTGAAGTGTTCTTAGTACAGCAGTGTCCTTGCACTGTCAGCCTTTGCAATGGACATGTAGGTTTGAGAGTGGTCTTGGTTTTGGTTTGACTTTTTGTGGGTTTTTTTTTTGGCTGTCTGTACATCTGCTGTGTTCCGCTTGCAAAAGGCCTCTGAGATGCACTGAGATGTACTTAACTGCTCTTAGTGTGTCTGTGGCCACATGTGCGTGTCTTAAGTTTGTGTGACATGTAATTTTTGAACTTCAGAACTTCTTTGGGTTCATAGAAGGCATGTAATGAAAGTTAAATTTGTATTAGTGAGAACAAATAGATGAGTAGAGGATATTTTTAATCTTTTAGTACTTTTTATAGAATAGCAGTTTGGCTTTGTTTACAATAGTAAGCAAAAAGGGTGTGCAAACCTGGAATGTTTTTGTTCATTTGAGTTGTATTTTGGAGAAATTGTTTGTTTTCTGAATGGTATGCCTCTGTAAGTTTTAATTTACTCTGTGTAGTCTGAAGAGAAGCGGTCAAGAAATGAGCAGGGTTAATGCCTTTGCAGTCATGCTTAATGAAGAGTCTATATAAATTGAGGCTGTAAACTAGTGGAAGCTTGAGATGATATTCTGTTACATACAGAAACAATTTGAAGATTTTCTGTATTAATATTGAAATTGTAAACTAATTTTAAGAGAGACCCTGAAATTTTATGTAAAGTTAGATCTACTGTCATAGAACTTTTGGACCTGAGCACTGGTCATTTGGGAAAAGATGGTTTAAAATGGTTCACAAAGAATGTTATTCCAAGTAAGTTTAAACTTGTGTAGAATTCACCTGAGATTAAAAGGAACTAAATAATTTTTAAGGTTAAGATAACAGCTTTAGAAGGGGAAACTCGTCACAGTTCTGCCAGCATGATAAATATCTTTCAGGTTTAAGATGCATTTTCTTTTGGCAATTTTGTCTTTTTGTCATATCTTCCATGTAAATGTTGTTTTCACAGACAATTTGGAAGAATTGTTCAGAGTAGCAATAGTTTTTAATGAGGAAACAAAGTTTTGTGATTAGAAAGTCTTCTAAGTGTTATTGATTGGAAAGGGTATGATATTGCAAAGGTGAAAATGCTGATGATTAGTAGTTTTTGTCCTGTGTGCTTGTACTGAAACTGGAAATCAAATTTAGCAATGTGTCTGTTGCTTTTTTTTTTTTTGTTAATGAGGGAATAATATTGTGTATTTAATGTTTTCTAGGCATTATCAGCCTGTGCAAACCTGGAAATTCTGGCATTCAGTCTCTTATTGGGGTACTCTGTATACCAAATATGGAAATACGGGTAGGTGGTAAATGTTTAGTACTGATGTATAATATTAGATGTTTTAATTAAAATATTCTGAGTGGTTTAACAATTTAGTGGTTTGAACATAAACTCCAGTTATGAGACCACTGTTCTCAAGTTTCTAAGTTCAAGTCTCTAATTCCAGTATAAAGTTCCAATGAGATTGGGAAGCATACCATTTATGTCTGAGAGTAAAGAATGGAGGAGAGAAAAGTACATGAATCAGTTTTTACTCTGGTCACAAATCCAAGCAAGCTTACACTAGCTGCAGTTAGAAATTTAAAGCATAATAACCCAAGTTGAATACAAGGTAAATAAACGCTTCTTCACAAATTAAACCTGTTAAAGAAGTTAATGATGCCAGCAGTAACTGTTCCGAAACTCTGTAGTCAAAGTAGCCTGAACTACAGAATTCATAGTGACAATAAGGTACAGTTCGAAAATAAACGAGTCCCATCTTTTCTTCTCTTATCCAGATTATTTTGGTTGATGAAAAAAGTAACACTGCAACAAATACACCAGTTTTAGCACTCTGTAGAAATCTCAACTTCATTATTAATAGTGAACAGAAGGAAAAATCTATGAAATTCTTGTTGCGGTTTTCTTTTTTGACAGCGAGGTCTGCTTGAAGTTCTCTATGATATATTTCGCCTTCCGCTTCCTGTCATCGCAGAAGAATTTATTGAGGCACTCCTCAGTGTAGGTAAGTATTTAAAACAGTTCACGTAAGAATTGTCTGTTAAGCTCTCACATGAATTTGAAAACTGCACGATCTCCTCTCTATTGTAAATTACATCGATGTTAACTGCTCTAGTACTGAATTTGTTGGGTGCTCTGAAGTCGTGTTTAAAATTCTTTATCAACTGTTAAGTGTTGTAAGTTTGTTGAAAAAACAGCAGTGGAGCATAGTTAGGCATTTATACAAAACACAGCACTACAAATAAGACTTCTTTGAACTGTTAGAAGTGTTATTAATGCAGATGTGTTATTAAATGCAGAAGAGTTATTAAACCATTTTATCTATATACTGTGTATCTGCTGGCTATCCCCACTGCACCCTAGCAGACTTGTACTTTTTCAAGGGCAAGTACATGCTTTTTCATGTTTTCATATATAACTGAGTTAGTTTTTTTTATCTTTAGAATTACACCTTTGTAAACTGGAGTATTCTCTGCTTTGTCCTGCAGTGTGAAAATGTAAGCCCAAAATGGGCAAGTTTCAGCCTTTTTGTGTTCCTGCAATTCTCCTCTTCAAACTTTGGTTTAAAATGTTTTGTCATGCAATTGGTTATAATAACTTAATCCTTGTTCCACGCTTATAAGTAAATAAATAATTCTTTGTAGCAAACTTACTAGTTTGACATAATGCATGTATATGGTAAAATTTTAGGTACTATTGTTGTTTTCTGTTAAACAAGTTTAATGTGTTTATGAATTGGAAATGTCATTATTTTGGCTGACACGTAGCTACATTTTTTTGTCCTTGCTTTGTTAAGAGTGTGGATTAGATAGCACATGTGCCATGAGGAGAGGCTGAGGGAGCTGGGGTTGTTTAGTCTGGAGAGGAGGCTCAGGGGAGACATTATCACCCTCTACAACACCCTGAAAGGAGGTTGGAATCAGGTGGGGGTTGGTCTCTTCTCACAGGCAACTAACAGTAGGACAAGAGGGCACAGACTTAAGCTCAGCCAGGGGAGGTTTAGGTTGGATATTAGGAAAAGATTTTTTACAGAGAGAGAGGCACTGGAATGGGCTGCCCAGGGCGGTGGTGGATTCACATCTCTGGAGGTTTTCAAGCTGAGACTGGATGTGGCACTTAGTGCCATGGTCTCTAGTAATGGCAGTAGGGTTGGACTCGATCTTTGAGATCTCTTCCAACCTGGTTGATTCTATGACATGCTAGAGATTCCTACTGACAAAATTTTCTGTAAGTTGCAACCTAAAGTAACATTTGTTGGCAAGAATTATTATTTACCTACTGACTTAGTTATTATTAAAATAACACTATGAAAGCCAGTGTTATAATTCCCATTGTCCCTATATTCTTGTTGTAGATCCAAGCAGGTTTCAAGATTGTTGGAGACTTTCTGATGGTTTTGTAGCTGCTGAAGCTAAAACTGTATTACCCCATCGAGCCAGGTCAAGGTGAGGATTTAATGAACTTAGTCTGAACACATTTTCTTATTTTGTTTTGTGGTAGTATTGACAAAACACTTCTTATTTTCTTCCAGGTACAATAAGAAATAAACTTTCTAAAGTGTTTCCAATCTTTTTTCTCCTTAGGCCTGATCTCATGGATAATTACTTGGCTTTAGTACTTTCAGCTTTTATTACCAATGGACTTCTAGAGGTAACTAATGACTTTTAAATTTGAATAGATAGCTGCAACTTCTGTCCTACAAGCATTCAAATAAAATGTTATACATTAAATGTTGTAATAATTTTTAACTTCTTGAAGGGTCTGGTTGAAGTGATCACAAGTAGTGATGACCACGTATCTGTTAGAGCAACTATCCTTTTGGGAGAACTTTTGCACATGGTAAGTAAAACTTTCTGTTGTTACTTGTAAGTAGATATTTGGTATTATAGCATTCAATTTGTGTTACAAACCTGGAACATGTAGTTTTCATCAGAATAGTGGATTAATTTACATTGCATCTTCTGGCACTTCATATATTAAAACCAGTGTAAATCAGTAGGAAGAGCATGTGGAAGTGCTAGGAGTTCTGCTTCAATGATAATCTGCAATTGTGACTTTTACCTGTACACTTCCTTAGTGTAGTAGACAGTTGTATTTTGAAGCTGGAATCCTGCAAACTCACCCACCAGTTCCTGTGTTTGTGAAAAGGACCGTTGCTAATTTTTGCTTTTCTTAGGATGATGGTAGGTAGCTCTCTGACAGTGTGTTTAGCTTTCTGCCTCACGGGCTAGGCAGGTGAAACTTTTTTCATGTTCAATTTGATGGGACTTCATGACTTGATACTACTCATTCAGGGCACTCCATCTTGGTGGAGTGCTCTTTCAGCACTGCTGTGAGTAGCTCTTGCTGCAGAGAACCTTTTGCTTCATTCTGCTTCCATTAACCTAATGTATCTTTTACAGTAGCTTCTCTCTCTTAACCTAAACTACTTTCATAGGGAAATGATGATACTGTTTTCTTATACACTCCAGTGCTACCTTTCAGCTGTTCGTTATATCTGAGTGATATGCTTTACCTGTCTAGAAAATCAGTTCTGTTTTTCACATCCTCTCTTGAT